CATGCAAGAATGCATTGTTTACATCCAATTGTTCCAAGTGTCAACCCTTAATGGCAGCAATGGATAATAATACTCTGACAGTGGTGATCTTAGCAACTGGAGAAAATGTGTCAAAATAGTCAACTCCTTCAAGTTGAGTATATCCCTTGGCAACAAGCCTAGCCTTATACCTCTCTATAGACCCATCAGCTTTGTATTTTATTCTGTAAACCCATCTACAACCAATGGGAACCTTTCCATGAGGCAAATCCATTACAGTCCAAGTGTGATTCTTAGCAAGAGCCTTTAACTCATCATCCACGGCATTCTTCCAACAGTCCTTCTTAATTGCTTGAGCATATGTTTTGGGTTCAATATTGGTAGAAATAGAAAAACAATAGTTTTTGTAAGCAGGAGAACAATGTTTATAAGAGATAATAGAAGAAAGAGGATATGTGATTTTAGAGGAAGAAGGTCTAGAATGAGATGTAAGAGTGGAATAACAGTGATAATCAGATAAGTAGCTAGGGGGATTGGAAGTTCTGCTGGACTGCCTTATAGGAGGAATAGGAGTAGGGAAGTCTATGGACTGATTAGACAACTCAGGAGAAGAGACATGAGGATTCTGATTATGGTCAGAAGGCACAGGAAAAGATGTGGCAGTAGAAGGACTAGATGTACTAGAAGAATTGTGAGGGGATGTAACAGCAGAGGGACTAAAAGGTAAATGAGATATAGGATTATAGGGAGATTGAGGAGTACCACTGCTGTCAGGAGAAGTACTAGGAACAGATGGTGAAGTCAAATCAGTGCTGCTATGGTCAATAGCATTGTTAAATGGTGATGGCATGTCAAGAAAGTCATTGAGGACAGAAGAAGGAATAGAGGAAGGAGAGGATGACACAGAAGAAAGTTTGAATGGAAAGACATCTTCATAAAAGATGACATTTCTAGACACAGAAATAGCATGACTATGCAGATTGTAAACTATGTACCCCTTGGTACCATCCTTAAAACCAAGAAAGATAGCTTTGTGAGCCCTAGGAACAAATTTGGTCCTATGTGCTTGCAAAGTAGAAACAAAACCTAGACAGCCAAACACCTTTAAGTGTATGATGGAAGGTGGTTGTTTAAACAAAATTTCATAGGGAGACTTTGATTTTAAAAGGGGTGTGGGTAGTCTATTTATAAGGTGAACAACATGTTGTACACATAAGTTCCAGAGAGATAAGGGGACATTGGAATGAAAATATAAGGCTCTAGCAATATTTAGAATATGTTGGTGTTTTCTCTCAACTACACCATTTTGTTGAGGAGTCTCAACACAAGATTTTTGATGCACAATTCCTTTAGATGAAAGAAAATCAGCAATGGTAAGGAATTTTGTACCATTGTCAGACCTAAGGCACTTAAGAGATGTTTTAAACTGAGTTTCAATGAGAGATACAAACTGAATGAGGCTAGCCCTAGTTTGATCTTTAGTACTGAGGAAAATGACCCATGTGAACCTTGTGTAATCATCTACTAATGTTAAAGAATATTTGTGACCAAGAGTAGACACAGTGGAGAATGGCCCCCATAAATCAGCATGCAAAATATTAAAAGGAGCACATGAAACAGAAGTACTAATAGGAAAAGAAAGCTTCTTTTGCTTTGCAAAGTGACATGAGTCACAAGGATCCAATTTGGAATTACAATTAATGAAAGGAAAAACTTTAGAGATTTCCTGTAATCCTAAGTAAGGCACATGACCTAATCTTAAGTGCCATGTATTACAAGATGTATTATTGACAAAAGAAAAAACAGAATTAGGTCTTGTAAGCTCAAGAGTATAGAGTCCCCTTTGCACATTAGCTATACCAATCATTGCCTTGGAATGATTCTGCATAATGTGACAAGAATTAGCATGGAATTGAACAAAACAATTATTGCTATCAACAAGCTTAGCAATAGAGACAAGATTAACATGAAAACTGGGGATAAACAGGACATGATGCAGAGTTAGGGAGGGAGAAAGAACAACAGTACCAGCTATGGAAGCAATTATTTGAGAGCCATTAGGTAAATTTACAGGAATAGGGACAATATTTTTATGATCAAGAAGCAAGCTAATGTCAAAGCAAATATGGTCAGTAGCACCAGTATCAAGGATCCAAATGTTAGAGTTCTTACCATTAGAGCCTGACTGAAAATTCAAGGCAAGAGGAGAAGTTGAGATGGAATTGGCATGGGAATTAAGCTGTGACTGTTGTAATATGGCCATGATGTGAGTGTATTGCTCTTGAGTAAGGGCACAAGAGGATGCAGGGGAAGAGCCTGTAGATTGGTTCTCAGAGGCAGTATTGGCCATGGCAATTGGCTGAGAAGTATTGGAAGAACCTGGAAACTTGCTTTTGCCTCTATATCCAGGGGGAAATCCATGCTTTAGAAAACAAGTTTCTATGGTATGGTTGGTCCTATTACAGTGAGTACAAATCCTAGCATGACCTTTAGGACCAGTCCCTTGAGATTTCCATTTAAAGTTGCCATAGCCAGGTTTACTATTGTGATTACTCTGAGCTTGAACATTCAAAGCTGTGGCCTCATCAGTGTTATCAGCAGGGGGCAAACTATTAGAGACAGAGCTATTCATCTCTCTTTCTTGTTGAATGACAAGAGAAAATGCCTTATCAATGTTTGGCAATGGGTTCAACATCATAATCTGAGATTTTGAATGCGTGAATTTGTCATTCAAACCTTTCAAAAATCGAAGCACATAGTCTTGTTCCCTATAACGCTGAACAGAAGCAATAGCATCGCAAGAACATGGAATAGCACAAGTACAAACAGGTATGTGGCGATAATTCTCAAGTTCATCCCATAAAACCTTCATCTGAGTAAAGTAATTAGAAACGTCGAGCGTACCTTGACGAAATTTGTATAATTCCTCCTGGATGTCTGAAATACGAAAGATATCACCATGAGAAAACCTAATTTGCAAGTTCCTCCAAACACCAGCAGCATTGTCGATCCATAACACTGACTTCGCAATTGACTCGGAAATAGAGCGTTGGATCCAAGCAAGAACCATAGTGTTACACCGAATCCAAGGAGCATAGAGTGGATCAGATAGCGGTGGTTTAGGGAGGGATCCGTCAATGAATCGGTCTTTGTTCTTGGATATCAACGCTATCTGCATAGATCGAGCCTAAACGTGATAGTTCTTGACGTCGAGTGGAGGCGAAACAAGCACCAATACTGGATTTTCATTCGGATGTAAGTAGAAAGGATTTGCGGAATTTGTAGAAAAATCTACATAGCTCTGGTAAGCCATTGAAACAGCAGAAGAAGCTCAAGAAAATGCGCGAGCAAAAGAGAAAGAAAGCAAGCGTCGCTCAGAGAAGGATGGCTACCAGAGCTTGATAAGCTCTGATACCATATCAAGAATGGTGGAAAACTCCATTGGAGCAAAACAGAAGAAACAGAATTCCAACAGAATTCTAACTGAATTCTAACAGAAAAAGATAAGGCAAGGAAAGAGTAAAGTGCTTACTATTACATTGAAATCAATTAAATCTGTACAAGTGGTCATTATATAATGTATGCATAAGCCTAGATTAAATAACAGCCATTGGATCAAGATAATAACAAAATAGAAAACTTAATGATCTATTCTATTATCTAAGCTAAGAGTAGGAGATTTATCGCCTTTGTTATTGATCTCTATATTGCTAAACAATGTTCAACCGGATCAGCGACGAGGCTGCAGTGGTCAGTGACTTCCGTTGTGGTGGTCGGAACATCAATATATTTCAGAGTTCATTTACGTTTCATATATTGCACATTTTAATATGATTATTCTGAAATCTTACGAATATGTTGTTGTTGATGTTGTTGTTGTGCTTAGAGAACGAAGAGCAAGAGTCCTTTGGAGATGGTTTTGTGTATATATGGCTCTCCAACAAATGTGTCTGCTCTTCAGGTTTTAATCTGATACTATGTATTATGAGTTTGTATGTTTGCAAAAAATTGTTTCATGTTCATTGATCGGTTGATTGAGCGAGTGAGATCGATTGTAGTGTGAGTGTCAGAATAAAACTCAGCATAAAATGACAAATTTTAAGATATATTGTTTTCATGGGGTTACTTTGATTTTGAGATGCAATTTGAATGGGCTTGGAAAAACCCTATAAAATCATTGGTTGTAAGAAAATATGTTGTTGGTTTTAAGTCCCTCTCAATAGTTTGGTTCTGTTTATTTTTAGATTTTGTTTCTTTTTCAGGCCTATAAGAAAAGTGGTTCTATTGACAAAGATTGCGGCAGTTGGAAATGTCACGGAGACTGAAGAGGAACATATGCGAGAAAGAGGCAGCCTGCAATTTTTGTATAGCTTAACTTCATTAAATAGTAAACTTTATATTTATCTATGTAACAAAAGATAAAATAGATACAACATTGTTTTCGTATAAGTTATTATATCATTTTCATAAACTAATATGGAGAGCTTATGAATAAGTTGATAATTCATAATTTCAGGTATCATAGTTATTTGAGACTGAGGGTACGAAATGATTCTTGGATTGGTAAGAATTTATTCTGAGATATGAAAATTTTGTTCTCAATTATAACAGTTCCTTGGATTCTCAAATTTAACAGTTCTTTGGATTTGGAACAATTGATTCTGAGATTTGTTCATTGCACATGCTTCGATTCAATTAGTAAGCGTCGATGACCACGTGTATCCAAATTTTATTGATGTGATGCAATGGTTGGCCGAGAGCAACCTGCTTGAAATGATTGTTGATAAATTAAGCCCATTTGTAAGTAAAACATATATCAAGGTTTATGTTTTCTGATTCAACTTTTATATATTAGCTATATGATAATAATACATTTGCACTTAGCTGGATGTCATACGAACATATTTTAAGACTATTAAATTGGATTTAAAATATAACTTGAAGTCTGAGTTTCCTGATTTTTATCCTACAGTTATGAATTTTGCTGCTGCAAATGCTGACAGCAGGGAATTCATTCCTAAATGAAATTCCTCTTGTCATTACTACATCTTTCCAATCTTCCAGGCCGTGCGCAAATTAGTGTGGAAGCTGCTAGATTTGGCCTCGACGGCGGCGAGCATGCTGCTACATTAACAAAAAGAGAAATTGGGGAGGAATTCAATACAAGAAATGAATTTAATGTAAGGTATAAGAACTAAACTTTGGATCAATTGTCGACACTTAAGTAAACTTGTGATCAGATTTTTTTTTCTTCTGAATTACATTAGATGTTGATGATAGGTAATTTCTGGCGTGAATTGTGGCATATTCCATTTCTTTCGAACAACTGTCTGGCAGGTTGGATCAATTTGTTAGAAACCAAGGAAAGGGCAATGAAGAATTGATAGAAACAATCAGACAAAATGAACTATTTTATTAATTACGTAGGATAGTGTATGATAAACACTTCTCCATGAATTTCTATTTTATGACCTGACCATTTTTTCTAATGTAACAAATCTCAACAAAGCATATTGAGAACTCTGGAATATGATTGAACATTGTACTTATCTCATGACAATGCTCTAAAAAATAATTTAAACATAGTAGTGTTGTGTAATTTCTGGTGCATGATGAGAGACTTGTCTTTAAAGGAGTGTACTGTATAGACAATTTATTTCCCATTGTATATTTGGATGTGTTGCTTATTCATTTAGAAGTAGTCTCCTCTATTTTGCTTGGTTTAAGTAACACTTTCTTGTGTTGCAAATATCATTATAATGTAGCGGACAATAGGCTCGGGCAGCATGTAGACAAGGGTATTGAGGATGGGTTGTGTATAAGTTGTGTGGCCTCTTCAGCAAATTTGTGGGCTATAATCATGAACGCAGGACTGTAGAACTCTTAAAAACCAATACTCTTTGGGCATCAATGAGGATCAACTAGTAAATCTAAAATACATTGCATAAAGATCTACTTTGAAGGAAACTAAAGAAGTCGTCTATACAACAATAGTGAAACTTTTATTTTACTTTGACGGGTATAGATTTTTTGGGAATAAATTCAAAGATTTAATTCGGAAACATTTTCGAACCCGAACTTAGTGGACTAGTCTGTCTTAAGCAGCCACGAGATCATGGATTTCCTTATTCACTTACTAAAGAATTCACGAGTATATACAGAATGCACGCGCTCCTACCTAAGGAGATTGTTCTTCGAAAACTCAAGCCTGCAACAGGAAAGAACAAATCTCTTCCAATACCAGAAAATTAAACTTTTATGTTTCTTATGAGATTGAGTTACTTCCTTTTTCATGCATTTTTCCTTGAAAGTTTCCTGCATTGGGCATAAACCAAAAGCATGAAAACATTAAGCACGATTGCATATATGTCTTTTAGGGTGCCAATGGAAGAATTGATAGGAAAACAATGGGAGAAAAGGCTTTCAAAAATAGGAATGGAGCAAATGTTAGGGTGCCTGCATTGATTTTTAGGTATGTTTAAGTGAATTTCTTTTCCTACTGGAGTTATCAATTAAACGATCTTCATACTCTGATTGGTAATAATTTTGTTTGATAATGCACCATTAATTAGATTGGTATGTCGAGATCGATAGTAATTGTGTTTAATAGTGTTCTGGTGATAGAGTTGAAGATGCCATTCAAATATTGGAATACATTATGAAAATAATGTTCATATTCTGATAAATGAATGAGTTGAATTTGTGTTAATGTTGCAGGTTTATTATGACATGGTTTGACATAGGTATAAAACTTGGTTGATTTGAACCAATTTGTTAGTTAGTGATGTGTTGAAAAGGAAATAACTGGAAACACACAAGAAATAAACATGTCTTTGTCATAAAATGCTAATGGTCCATTTGAGCATACTATCTGGCATGATAATGAAGTAAGTTTACACAGGAACCGTGAATTAGATGCAGCCTAAGTTTTACAGTAAGAGATTTCCCGTGATAATGCTATTTCTGAAAATACAGAATCTGCTTCTATATCTAAAATCACTGGACTAGGACTTCATTCCGACTCTAATATAAAGAATGATTGCAATATGGCATTACATCTTCTTTGCACTGCATCAATATGGAAGTGGGATTTAGAAAACCAACATATGTATGGTGTTGGTGATTGTTAACCATTGTTGAAATGCAACATTTCATGAGTTTTACTTAATAGCAAATGATTATTTGATTTGTACTAAATATACATGACTACTGCAATATATGAAGCCATGTCTCGCATGTCGGTTTAGGGTTTAGGCGTCATGTGAGCTTTTAAGGTAGATACATGCCTCGCATGTCGGTAAGTACACTATTAAACTTTCTAACAATGCCTTAAGGACTTTTCGTTTTGGACCAAATTAGTTAGTCTTTATTTTGAACTAAACTAATTTACAGCTGGATAAAGGTAAAATATCATTTTGATATTGATATACATTACCAATTTGTATTGAGAGAAAGTAAGCTCATTTTCTCTTTTGGTTACTGATTTTGATTTTGAGTCTCTTCTGCAAGACACTCTGATGCTACAGTAAGTAAGAGCACGAGTAGGCAAATAGTAAGTATGGGTAGAATGATGAATACCTGACCCTCTGGAAACAGAGGGTATTTATAGCCCCTAGCGCTGGGCCAAGGTTCCTTCATTGGGCCGGGCAGGTTTGACCCAATGGAGGAACTGCCAGGTTCTACGTGCGTAGTGGGGACCCGCACGTGGTCCCCTCCCTGGATCTTCTGCGTGAAGTGCGGGCGGACAGAGACGCGGTCTTTTCGGGGTCTCGTTGGGAGTGCAGTGGACTGAGTCTGCCCTAGTTAGGGTGCTCGAGGTGATGTCGAGCTGGACAGCAGGATGTCGAGCTGGACAGTTGGAGGTCGAGCAAGTAACCTCAGGGAGCACGTCGGGCACGACTGTGACCCTTTGGTCAGCGTGGCCCTCAGCAAGTCCGTTTGGATTGGGCCTTATCAATGCTATTGGGCCTTTCGGGCCCAGTCCAGAACAGGAGCCCCCCAAGTCGTGGTTCCTTGGGTTAGGAGCCATGGCTTGATCTCAGGTCGTTTCCGTTTCGGGGTCTCGCGCCCGGGTCAAAGATGCAGCTCCTCGAGGGCTTCTCCGTGTCGTGCTCGGAGACAAATCCTTTGCGGTGGATACTCGGGGAATCCTCACCGGCGCGCGTCTGTCGAGCACACGGGGTATCTTTCGGGAACTGTGCCGCCACCCTATGATGACAGGGTCATCATTGCCTTGGGAGCCGTGTGTCGAGGAGAGAAACTCCGTGGTTGCCCGAGGTGACGTTTGGTATTCCACGTCATCACTATAAATAGGATCCTTGGGCCCCATAACGCGTTACTACTCTTTGCGCTCCTACTGCTGCTGTTCTTCCAGATTTTCATAGCATAGCTACGATTCCCGTCACAGATTCCTTTCCTCCGTTGCAGAACTCACTCCTTGATTGCAAGTAAGTGACTTATCTTCTTCGTTTTCCTGTTGTGATGCATGATTTTCACCGCTGTGGACGTTTTAGGGACTGTGCGCGTGGGACTAGCCCGGTATATTCATGTTTAGCTCGACAAATTCATGTTTAGGACCGGAAAACGCATGCTCGTGGCCGGTAGATACATAGTTTAGGTTACAATCTGCGGTGCTGCTCGGGGTCTTCATGATCCAGGGCGCCTGATTCATGATCGTGCCCGGTATGTTCGTGGCTCTGGCCGTAGGTTTTATGATGTTGCTCGTCATGTGCATACCTTGGGTCAGCATGTTGGAGAGTGGCCGCGTTGTCGGTTTGCTTAAGCGGCTTGGAGAAGGTCTCGTCGAGTTATCCGGACGTCGGGGAGGCGACTGCTATTTTGTTTCAAACTTAACTTACGGTCGCGCGTGGAGCGACGTGGTTTGTCGCACGGTACATCTGGTCCGTTACGTCGAGCGTATGGTTTCGTGCCCAATTGACTGGTTTCCCGTGCTCTGCAGGTAACCATGGCGGACGAGCCGTGCTCTTCTGGACGCCCCGAACGGGAGGAACAAAGTGCCGATGAGGCAGTGAGTTTGATCGACACTGTCGACGACCCTCTGTTGGATTGGGTGGGCGCCGAGCCCAGAGGAATCGCGTCGATCTATAGCCGGCGTAACCGAAAGCCATATGCTGTCCTTGAGGCGGGCCACGGTCAGCCTGATTTTCAAAAGAATTGCGTTGTTACGCGACCGACCTCCAATGCCCGTATCTGCTCGGTGTACCCCGAGTATAGCTTCCCCATGTACGAAATCGCGTTCAAAGATCTTGGGCTGCAGCTGCCCTTCAGTGACTTTCAGACCGGGGTCTTCGCCCATCTGGGGCTGGCCCCGTCGCAGCTACACCCGAACTCGCCCGCTTTTATCCGGGCGTTTAAGCTGACATGTCGTTTTCTGAGGATCGGGGCGACTATACCTCTCTTCTTCAGAATTTTCCATCTGCAGCGCCAGTCTCGAGGAGGGAAGCACAGCTGGGTCCCCTTAAAACAGTCGAGGAGACTATTCAAGATGTACATGGATTCCGTAAGGGGTTTTAAAGACAAGTGGTATGTCGTGAGGCCGGTTACCACGTCTGCCTTAGAATCCCTGTACGAGGAGGAGGCGCCCATAAGCGACGATGACGGGGAGGCGATTTTAGACAACGACGGGTATCCCGTGATGGCCCGCACGGCCAAGTTCCCCATGCATTGGATGTTCAGGCATTATGAGCACGGGACTGGATACTATCATACCGCTGCGGGCGACATGTGTTCTGAGGATGAGAAGGCGTATGACACTCTTTTTCGGTTCGTTGACAGCTTCCACCCCGCCAGGTGGGCCACGAGGGAGGGGGAAGATGTCTTGGACGAGGAGGGTTATCCGACATTCGAGTCCCGACCGATCGATACTAAGGCACTCGTGGAGTGCCAGTCGTTCAGGCAGGTTGCTCGTCTGCTAGGTCGTTTATTGCTTGAATTTCTTTGCCTGTCATTTGTTTGTGTATTTGCTCGACACTAACCCGTCTTTTATTTTGTGCAGGTTCGATGGCCGGACGACGGGAAAGACTCTTGAAGCTGTCTTGCGACCAGAAGCGGGGTAGGAGGGTTGTGAAGGCTCCCCAAGCAACGAGGATGGGCCCGCCGCATAGCCCGGGCGCTCCTCATGTGGTGAGGGTGGATTCGTCGCCCAGCTCGGGGGCCGCGTCGGAAGAAATCCCAGAGGTTCAAGAGGTCGAGCCACACGCCGACCTGATACAAAGGAAGAGGAACCGGGTGGAAAGCGGGCCGGCGGTTGGCGAGGACGCCAGCGCCGTAAGGTCCTTCGGGTTGCCCCCTTGCTTCAAAGAGGAGGGTTTCTTCGAGAGATTCCCTCTATCTGTGGTTGCCGATGAGGCTGAGACTATCAAGAGGATGAGTAAGGAGGATCGGAGGAGGCACATGGCCGCCAACATGGCCGGGCTGGTGAAAATGGCCGAAATGGCCATGGTGCTGTCCGAGGAGGGGGAGGATCCTGTCCGTATTGAAGAACTGGAGCAGGAGAAAGCGGCTCTCACCTCGAGTTCGCAGAAGTTAAGGACTTCCCTAGAACGCTCTGAGGAGATGTTCCGCGAGCAGGCATCGCTGCTGGCCGCTGAGAGGGAGATGTTGATCCTGGAGAAAGAAAATTCGGGGAAGCTAGCCGAGGAGGGAGAGCTTCTTCGCGCGGACAGGGATCGTCTGGAGACCGACATCGGGCGCTTGACCCAACAGATCGAGGACCTGAAAGTTTCCATGCTTCCTGTCGAGGACGAGCCGGAGGATATAGCTGCTTTGAAGAGTCGATCGGAGTTGGTCGCCCATATCCGGCTACTCGAAGCAGATTGCGTCGGTGCTATGGAGGAGGGGTTCGACTCCGCAGTCGGCCAACTTTCCTTGCTAAATCCTGGTTTGGTCACTGAGGGGACGGGCTACACTCATCAGATCGTGGATGGCGCGATCGTGCCCCCGCCCGACTCTCCTGTTGTCGACAATGATGGTTCCGGGGAAGCTTGATTGTAGGATAGCGGGCCTGCGTGCCTCTGATATTTGTATTTTTTGGGCATGCGTGCCCGTTGGTTGTACTTCACGAACATCGCCGGCCTTCTTGGTCGGTTTATACTTATTTGCTTTGTTGCCTTCGGGCGTTTTTTTGAATGAATGTTGTTTCAAATTTGATTGTTTGCCCGTGCTTGATTTTTATATTTTTGCATAAAAATTAGCCTAAGTTATGGGCCCGAGGAGTGCCCGTAAGTGGCGAGTTTGCCCGCCTTTCGTTTGTATACGTGCCCGTCCTTCTTTCGTTGGCCAGAGTCACCTAAGTGTTGCACTCGAGGAGAGAGACTTCCCTTTGACCCTTTTAGATGGCCCGTCATTCTTGACGACTTGTCGGGCATATGGAGCGAAGTTGCTCAGTCGGGCGCGAAGCCCGGTAGGGATTATTTTCCCTTGGTGTGAACTGCCCATCGCGAGCTGGGTGTTCTGCCTTACAGGTACTACGACGGTGGGGCTCGGTGTAGTTGTCCACGTCGGGCACTATCGATTGGTCTCGTTTGTTGAGCGATGTTGTGCGATTTAGCCATATGTCGGGCTTGTACCCTCAGCCTCTATGCGGAGTCGGACGTTTTTCCTCGTCGACCGAGCGTGGGTGTCGATGGTCGAGGGTCCTAGGTGTTGGTAGTTTTTAACTATAGTACTGCTTTAGCTTAGCAGCGTTCCAGGGTCGTGGTAATGGCTCTCCGTCTAATTGCTCGAGATAGTACGCCCCGGTACCAGTGGTGCCGTGGACGCGATAAGGTCCTTCCCAGTTCGCGGCCAGCTTCCCTTCGCGGGAATCCTTCTGGTTCCTACGTAATACCAGGCTGCCGATTTCGAACTCGCGTTTGATGACCTTGTCGTTTTGGCGTAGAGCCACTCGTTGTTTTAGGGTGGCTTCGCGCAGGGCTGCACCAGATCGGATTTCCTCGACTAGGTCGAGTTCGTCCCTTAACGCCTCGTCGTTCATTTCTTCGTCGAGGGGCTTCTCTGTTCGTCTGGAAGGTTCCATGATTTCAACTGGGATAACGGCCTCGGTGCCATACGTCAATCGAAATGGGGTCTCTCCCGTCGTTGAGTGGGGCGTGGTTCGGTATGCCCACAA